AGTGCCGGGCCAGGGCTACGGGCAGGCCACGGACCGTGGCACGGATCACCACCACGCGGTCCTACAGAGCCGGGAGCAGCCTCAGCGGGCGGCGGGCGGCGGCGGCGGCCCGGGCTACGGGCAGGCCACGGACCGTGGCACGGATCACCACCACGCGGTCCTACAGAGCCGGGAGCAGCCTCAGCGGGCGGGCAGTGCCGGGCCAGGGCTACGGGCAGGCCACGGACCGTGGCACGGATCACCACCACGCGGTCCTACAGAGCCGGGAGCAGCCTCAGCGGCCGGGCAGTGCCGGGCCAGGGCTACGGGCAGGCCACGGACCGTGGCACGGATCACCACCACGCGGTCCTACAGAGCCGGGAGCAGCCTCAGCGGCCGGGCAGTGCCGGGCCAGGGCTATGGGCAGGCCACGGACCGTGGCACGGACCACCACCACACGGTCCTACAGAGCCGGGAGCAGCCTCAGCGGGCGGGCAGTGCCGGGCCAGGGCTACGGGCAGGCCACGGACCGTGGCACGGATCACCACCACGCGGTCCTACAGAGCCGGGAGCAGCCTCAGCGGGCGGGCAGTGCCGGGCCAGGGCTACGGGCAGGCCACGGACCGTGGCACGGATCACCACCACGCGGTCCTACAGAGCCGGGAGCAGCCTCAGCGGGCAGGCAGTGCCGGGCCAGGGCTACGGGCAGGCCACGGACCGTGGCACGGATCACCACCACACGGTCCTACAGAGCCGGGAGCAGCCTCAGCGGGCGGGCAGTGCCGGGCCAGGGCTATGGGCAGGCCACGGACCGTGGCACGGATCACCACCACGCGGTCCTACAGAGCCGGGAGCAGCCTCAGCGGGCGGGCAGTGCCGGGCCAGGGCTACGGGCAGGCCACGGACCGTGGCACGGATCACCACCACGCGGTCCTACAGAGCCGGGAGCAGCCTCAGCGGGCGGCGGGCGGCGGCGGCGGCCCGGGCTACGGGCAGGTTGTCGGCGACTTTCGGGGTGCGGTTTACAGCTGACAGACGTCGCCTGGAGCCGAGAGCCGACGGAGCTGCCCCTCCTGGAGCCGAGAGCTGACGGAGCTGCCCCTCCCGGAGCCGAGAGCTGACGGAGCTGCCCCTCCTGGAGCCGAGAGCTGACGGAGCTGCCCCTCCCGGAGCCGAGAGCTGACGGAGCAGTCTCGGTCCGGCCCGGGTATTTCGGGGACGGTCGATTTTCCGACCGCGCCCGCCCCCACCCCACTCCCTCCCCTCTGAGACCGCTGCCTCTGGCGCTCTCAGCTGGACTGAAACCACCCACCCACCCACCCCACCCCGGCCCGGCCCGGCCCGGCTGCCCGGGAGGACAGGAGTCCGACTCCCGTCACAGGACCATCACTGGACCGTCATACGACCACACTGGTCCGTCAGAGGACCATCACTGGACCGTCATACGACCACACTGGTCCGTCAGAGGACCACACTGGACCGTCATACGACCACACTGGTCCGTCAGAGGGCCATCATAGGACCACACTGGACCTTTGTTTGTTTGTTAATTGGGGCTTTAGGGCGCGCCGACTACTTAGGTCATTTTGCGCCCATTTCACCACACTGGACCGTCATACGACCACACTGGACCGCCGGAGTTCCTTTTGTTACCATCTGACGGCTGACCTCTGAAACCGCAAGTGACTGTCAGGTGACTGCCATCGGCGAATTCTGAATCTGCTCTCCGTTCCTCTACCTCTCATGCCCGCATTACCACGTCCCTTTGCCCCCTATCACCCCGTCACTCTCTCTGTCTCGCTGCGTTCCTCTCTCCACTTCAACCGTTCCTCTGCCCGTATTAGCCCGTTTCCTGTCCATATTTCTCCGTTCCTCTTCCCGTAGCTATCCGTCCCCTTGCCAGACTCACCCTCTCCCTCTGCCCGTATCACCCCTCCCTCCCTCAGCCGCACCCCTCCGTCCCTCAGCCGCACCCCTCCGTCCCTCAGCCGCACCCCTCCGTCCCTCTGCCGGCGGCCAGGCCCTCTGCCAGCCCGGGCCGCGGCCGGCCCGCCGCGCGGCGGTCACAGGAAGCCCTCAAAGCTCGGCCGGAGTCCGCCGCACGAATCGGGCCTCCGCGCCGCCGCCCCGCCCGGGCAGGCGCCATCCAACAAACTACGTCACCGCCGGATATCTACGCCGCCACGTTAAAACAGGCGGCCGGTGAGATCGGCCGTAGCGCTCGCTGACGCGGCCCGGCGCGGTGGGAAGACTGGGCTCCTCTGCCGGCAGCAGAGACGCCGCTGCTGGTGCCGCCGGTAGTGCAGCGGACGGTACCCATTGACGCAGTACCTGACCGCGGTCGGGTCCAGACTGCTTCCTTGGTACGGCAATACGCAGCTCTGGGGCCCGGTGTATGTGAGGCGGGCCCGCTATCGCCGACCCTATCGGCCTGGCTCGGCCCGGTCCGGTCGGTCCACCGTATGTAGCATGCAGTGTGTACTGTGCGCCCACGGCACATATCGTGCCCACAGTCCCCTGTGACCGACCGTCGTGTGGGCGCCACAGCCGCGGCGCGCCACGGGAGACATTCAGGAGAGCTTCAGCGATCAACTGTCACGAAAGGGACACACAAAAAGATCTTCAAGCAACGCAGAATGACATCACAGCCTAAGGAAATATCATGTAAAGCAGAGGCAGTAACCATACATCGTCACGGCAGTCGGCACCCACCCACTGTATTGCTGCACACTGGAATCAGTTGCAGGACTGTCCGGTGGGGCGCGACTGTGTACAGCTGTGGAGTCAGGTGCCCAGAGCTCAGAGGGCCAGCCACCAGCCGGTTCACAGAGTCCGACAGTGGACCGACGTCAGCTGATCGGACCCCAGCGTCAGGTGACATCAGCTGATCGGCCCCCCGCTGACGTCAGCGGGGGGCCAGCGTCAGTCAGCTGATATCAGCTGATCCGCAGCCGGTGACGTCACCGCAGCAGACAAAGGCCCGACTTTCTCGCTCTCAGAGTTGGGCCGACACGCAACTGGTCACAAAAACTGGCCTCCGTTCGGCCGGCCGACCCAAACAGCGGCGCCCGCGCCGTCCCGGCCAGCTCAGCACCCGCGCAACGCGGGCAGCGGCGAGACAACGGCCACGGATAGCTGCTAATTATGGTTAGCCCAGCGCAACAGCTAGCTGGCTCCTAAAAACCGCTTACTCTCCGCCACTGCTAGACGTAACTACGGCTGGCTCCCAACTGTTGCGGCTCCCAGTCACGGCTAGACTTCAGTCTAGGCTAGCTCCCAGCCTCAGCTTTATCTCGATAGCAGCTGCCCGGCGTGGCTACCTCCGCTGGTGCAGCCCCGTGAGATGACTGCCGAGATACAGTCCCTCCCGGCCCCGCTGCGGGCTACACCCGTATGACTCAGTCCACCCCCACCCACCTGTGGGCCACTCGCGCCCCGTCCGCCGGCCTCCTGACACCGGGCCGAGCGCGCCGCCGCCGCGGGGAGCCCCGGCAGGGGAAGTGACCGGTACACCACACAGCCGCTCCCCACACCCACACACAGAGGCACACTCACAGCCACTCAGCCCCGCCGCCGGCCGGGCCGCCACTGTTCACCGGCCGACCGACCGGCGGCGGCGGCGGCGGCGGCGCGCAGCTCGATCCGGTGACGTCAGCCGGCGGTGACGTCACCCGGCGGTGGGCGGGGCCGAGGGCAGCTGCCGAGGGGTGGACGGACGGACGGACGGACGGACGGCTGTACGACTCAGTATTGTAGTACAGACTGCAGATACGGCCCGATCACGGGGTCAAAGTCCCCATGGTGTTGGGTTAGGCCCTTCCGTTACATCATCTTAGGGCCGTGTGATAGGATGATAAGGGGGAGGCGATGGTCTGACTCGACCCGCGGCTCTGGTACGGAGCGGACGGAGCGGCCAGCCAGCCGCTCAAACGGCCAACCCGCAGGAGTTGGCCGTTTCCATTACCAGGCCGAACACGGTCCGAAAAACGGTCCGCAAAACATAGACAGGTACCCAATACCCAAAGGTAAGCACAATGATCAGCTATGCTGTCGGCAGACAACAGCACATTTTGTGTGTGCAAAAGTGAAAACGATGTTTCACCGGTCCAAGACAAAACGACCGAAAGAATGAAAAGCTGCAATGAAATTGCAATGATCGAATGAGATATTGGCTTTGTTGCAACCGAAAAAATATGAATACCCAATCGACCACTTTGTTAACACACACATAACATCATACGAGTTTGGATGTCGTAAATGCAAGGACCAAACGGCAGCATCAGCCATCAACAGTGTTCGTTTTGCAGGGTGGAACAGGGCAGGGGCGGGGTGGGGTGAATGCATGGATGATCCCGACACTGTGCTTCATTAGCGTGCCAATCACCTTCCCGCCTTTCGCACAGATCCCCCACAATTACTCTCCTCAGCGAGATCCCCCTGGCCAAAACGGAGTGTTTTGTCAGCGCGCGCCACTAGCATATATGTCCGTCTCCCGTTAAGGGCCACACAGGACACCCGGCTGAGTATGAAGGTATGATGAAGTCTGCTCGTCGGCCAGTACGTAAGTGGTCGCGTTCACCGCCCACCGCCCACTGAAAGTCGCGAGCACCAAAATACCTGCCAAGGTGGATTGCGATTTACCTGCTGCCTTGCAGCTGAGCGCCACTCGAAACACTACCATGGCAATAGATAATACCCTGGCCTTCTTCCAGAGAGGAGGTGTGGGCTCGCGTTAGCAGTTGGTGCCGGAGAATAATATCACCGCAGGTTTACTGCCACCGGCGAACATTGAAAACAGTGTGCCGATTCTACCTAGGTATCCTACAGGTATTTTGTATATAGGTGCTCATATATGTAGGGGAGAGAACCTTTAGAGCCGCTGACACACACACTACTCTCTCCTCTCTCTCTTTCTTTCTCTCTTTCTCTCTCTCTCTCTCTCTCTCTCTCTCTCTCTCTCTCTCTCTCTCTCTCTCTCTCTCTCTCTCTCTCTCTCTCTCTCACTCTCTCCCCGCTCTCACCGGCAGCTGGTATCTGGCGCACTCCTCCTCTCGCTGGTTTCTGGGGAAGTAGTGCGGCAGTAGCACCTCGTATATCCCGGCGTCCATGGCGTCCACAGTGAGTACGAGTAGTGGCCCCGACGGGTCGGCGAAACGCTCCAGGAACCGGCGCACAGTGCCTGAAACACCGGGGTAACAGATATACATTATACTTCACACCGTCCCTGAAACGGAATAACAGGGCAACAGCACACCGGTGCAGTACGAGACTGGAATGGGGTAACAGGGAACATCGCAGCGTGACTGAACATCGGGGTCACAAAGACACGTCACACCGGCGCCTCGCACCTTGAATAGGGAAAATTCACACCACATCTTCAGATACACTGCCTAAACCCCCAACTTGATACACTGGGAAACAACAAAATACACATAAACTGCAGTTCATATAGCAAGCCACAGCACCGCCGAACACCACATCAGTTACCAAACGCCCGAACTGAGTCAGCTTGCCGCACGTGTTCGACGTCTATGCTGATTGCTGAGTGTCCAAGTCTGATCAATGTCGGACACTGACACGGTGGCTATGAATGACGGCTTGACGATTGACGACCGACGGTAACTTTGAGGCCATGCATGATTGACATTGTGAAATCTGGATGACCTAATCTGGCTTGCAAATTCTAAAGGAAAAAGGATCAGGGGTCGATAGCAGAGATTTGTGATACAAATTACCGAAATATGATTTTGAAATACAAAGTGTGGATTCAACAGCCGTAGGTATCTTTTGGATAATCTTTCGAACGCAGCCGCCGTCCTTTCGGATAAGAGGAGTGCAGTGTGCGCATGGATGTACATGATAGCGGACAGGGTACCTCACATCAATGAACTAGCAGTATGAGCGCAGCGTTGTAAAGTCCCGTCGATATCCCAGGCCATGGTAAGTTGCACTAGGGTTGACTATTAAGTAATGGAAGTGCCTTAAGCAATTAAACATTTTTGCACGTGCACACATTTTTTGGGTGTCATTTCATGCGCCGATGTTTTTTTTCTATCCAATGTTGAAATCCACATGTCCTTAGCTACTTTTTGCTATAAGCTATCGTCGTTTTCCCAAGAGACCACCCGAACCTGTGGCGCACCACCTGGCAATGGCCAAAACCGCGCGCCAGCGCCGAGTGCAAGGTCATTAGAGCTCAGTTTGTCGTAGGGAAAAGGCCTACCAAGATCAGAAGATTTCTTTTTTAAGTGTATGGAGCGACGCATCCTCCCCACAGACGATATGTCGGTGGTTTCATCGGTTTGAGAAAGAAAGCACCGATCAGCCTTCTGGCGGCGTTCCAGGAGTGGGTCAAGACGAGGCTGGAACGGTGTGTGATGCTTGAAGGCGATTATGTGGAGTAGTGTATGCTGTCATTTATCGTGCCTATGTGCATTTTTTGATGAAAATATAGCAATTGTCCATTGTGTAGCCATAACAATAAGCCACTAAGCTCTTGATGATCTCGCGCTGGCACTTGGCGCGCGATTTTGGCCATTGCCAGACTCCTTTTTCATGGTGCGCCGCAGGTTCGGGTGGTCTCTTGGGAAAACGACGATATCTTGGAGCAAGAAGTAGCTAAGGACATGTGGTCTTCGCCATTGGATAGAAAAAACATCGGCGCATGAAATGACACCCAAAAATTATGTGCACGTGCGATAACGTTTAATTGCTCCCACCTTAACATTAGTTTTGAGTTGAGATAGCCAAATTGGTGGCCATGGCCTGCAAATACCGGTTTGGGCACTCACAACATCGAAAAATGCTTTAATTCGAAGATATGGAATTTCAAACTTGCAGTTTTCGGATTCTAAGGGGCTAATGCATTGGAATGCCCCCTTAGAATTTGTGACGTCAGCGGAGATCTAACGATTTTTAAATCTTTGACTAAAACCATCGTTAACACGTGGTGGTATACGCTGCTTTGCGCGCAACGTCTGCCGCACTTTAAGGCTGCCAAATTATTGCTTCCAAATAAAGTCGCTAGTAACAGGGGAGATCCCAAAAAGTAAACAAAAGTAAAAGCCTAATATCTTGAAAACCAGTGAATATTTTTCGGTGAAATTTGGTAGATATTCGTTTTCGCTCTTTCTGAACCAAGGGACATCACTTTCATGCCAATTCATTAACTTTTTTGAAGGTGGGAGGGTCCCTTTAAGGCACTTCCATTACTTAATAGTCAACCCTAGTAGTAGATTATTTCCCCGCACCCTAGGAGCCCACCCTGGTACTGTGACTCGTGGCGACATCTGCGTCCGCACTGTACGGGGTTTCTATATCCAGAGGTCAGCACCTTGCAAGCCCCTGGCCTAGTCTTCTCGGCGTTGCTTGCATTTGCACTGAATACGCCAGCAATGGGATTTAATCTCGATGTTGACGACGTTCTATCAAATCGCCTAAACTTGTAGTCAAATTATTGGAACAATCAGTTTTTAGAAAACGCAGATAACACATTTCATCCAATGAAAGCGTCATGCTGATTGGGCTAGGATATAGGTCAGTTGTAGCACAAGCAGTGATTGTGATACAGCAATTACAGCAGAACAATGCATTCCGCACCTTAAAATGAGAGGTTCAAAGAATGAAACACAAACGGAACATAACCCGAATTATTTTAAACGCTCACAAAGTGTGGACCTCACAATGCATCCACTGGCGCCCAGAGTAGCACTACTGAGCGTCTCTCCTTTACCCGGTGTCTGCCTGACCGCGGCACACACGGAGCGCGCTGTGGGCGCCGCACGGAGCGTCTCTGGTACTCAGGGAGCGCACTGTGGGCGCCGTCTCTGGTACTCACGGAGCGTCTCTGGTACTCACGGAGCGTCTCTGGTACTCACGGAGCGCGATGTGGGCGCCTCACGGAGCGTCTCTGGTACTCAGGGAGCGTCTCTGGTACTCACGGAGCGTCTCTGGTACTCAGGGAGCGTCTCTGGTACTCAGGGAGCGTCTCTGGTACTCACGGAGCGTCTCTGGTACTCACGGAGCGTCTCTGGTACTCACGGAGCGCGATGTGGGCGCCGACGTCCGGCGGAAAGCCGCGGCGCGACGAGTGGAGGCAGGGCAGGCCGACACTGGCCAGCCGGTGGTCGCAGACCAGCTGCAGCACCTCACTGAAACACAGAGAGACAGACACTGAGACACAGAGACAGACACTGAAACACAGAGACGGACACTGAGACGGGGGAGAGAAACTCAGTGAGACACAGAGACTCACTGAGACAGGGGACAGAGACTCACTGAGACAGGGGTCAGAGACTCACTGAGACAGGGGACAGAGACTCACTGAGTCAGGGGACAGAGACTCACTGAGACAGGGGTCAGAGACTCACTGAGACAGGGGTCAGAGACTCACTGAGACAGGGGTCAGAGACTCACTGAGACAGGGGACAGAGACTCACTGAGTCAGGGGACAGAGACTCACTGAGACAGGGGTCAGAGACTCACTGAGACAGGGGTCAGAGACTCACTGAGACAGGGGTCAGAGACTCACTGAGACAGGGGTCAGAGACTCACTGAGACAGGGGACAGAGACTCACTGAGTCAGGGGACAGAGACTCACTGAGACACAGAGACTCACTGGGACAAGGGAGAGAGAGAAGCAGCGCAGGCCGACACGGCGAGACTCACTGAAACATTTACACTAACGGACAATGAATCCAGAAGAAAGGCTCACGGAAAATGAGGACGGGGAATGGTAATGAGGCAAAAAGGGAGGACGATGCACCTGGCCAATAAATTGGCGTTCACGCCATGAGGCCGCATGTGATCAGCTCTTGGTGAGAGCGGTCTCCGTGAACGTATCGACGTCGGGTCTCGGTTACCACTGGGCCGACGTTGGCTACCTCACCAGTCACCAGTGACCCCCGACACCGAGTGGCGGGCAGGACCAGCGCGCGGCGCTGGCTGGGAGCGGCTCCCGCAGACCTGGGCCCTGGGCACCTTCCGTTGAACACCCCATCGAGAAATATAATACGATGGCGATAGAGTTAGAAGTGGGAGCGAAAATCGGACGGTGTCAGGCCGGTGCCGGGCTGTTATCTCTTGTGTCCGGTCCGGTGTCTGTTCTGTCTGTTCTGTGTCCGGTCTGTGTCTGTTCTGTGTCTGTTCTGTGTCGGGTCTGTGTCGAGTGTGTGCCGGTCCGGTGTCGGTTATGTGTCGGGTTATGTGTGGGGTCTGTATCGGGTCTGTGTTGGATCTGTATCGGGTCTGTATCGGGTCTGTGTTGGATCTGTGGAGGGTCAGTGTTCAGGCACGTAGCCAGGATTTTGCTCAGGGAGGGGCCACAGGTCGCGGCCTAGTGTCGTACCCCCTCCAAAAAGGAAAACTCCTCGGATTCGGCCCACTATTTTTGGGGGTGTGGTGCATCTGTTTTAATTCAATTTTTAAACTTTATTTTATTTTTCGTCTTCAGGGGGGGGGGCATGGCCATATGACCCCCGCGGCCCCCCTTGGCTACGTCCCTGTCAGTGTCGGGTCCGTGTCGGATCAGTGTCGGGTCAGTGTCGGGTCTGTGTCGGGTCTGTGTCGGGTCTGTGTTGGATCTGTGTCGGATCAGTGTCGGGTCTGTGTCGGGTCTGTGTCGGGTCTGTGACGGGTCTGTGTCGGGTCTGTGTCGGATCCGGTGTCGGTGGACGCTAGAGTGACTGGGCTGTCGGTGACACTATGTCAAATACCGACTGGGCATTATCGCCGGACGTCCCACTCCAATAGCAGTGGCACGGTCTCCCTCTCCGCCAGCGCGGCGCACCAGTCGGCGGTCGACTCCGCCTCAGCCCTAGCCCCCCCCCCCCCCCGCCATCATTCACCCCATCGTCACCATTAGCGCTGCCATCCTCTCAACTAATCAAAAGACTCTAGCCCAGTGGAACAAAATAGTGAAGGGGAAACCAAAACGCGGATATCGGGGCGATGACCCTTTACTGTCTCACACCCACCGGCGCTGGCCGCTACAATGACTGTCAAATCGGTTCCTCCCTCTCGCTGGTTTCAAATCACAGAAATTACAGAAAGGAAATGTCGAAATGAATATGACGATGAAGGCTCGTCAGACAATTTATATCCCAAACAACTAGCAATTGTGTTACATTTTTAGCTAGCAGTTATCAGGCCGCCATATTTTTGGCTGCAGTTATTTGCAGAATACTTTGTCACTATCTGACGGCTATTTGACCCCCACTCATTTCAGAGCCGTAAGGGTGGCGATTACATTGGAATTTACAGCTTTATGGAACCCTGCATTCAAGTTGTTAAACGTTTCGCCAAATTCCTCAACATTTACGACGATCAGACCACACTATTCTTAGTCTTCATTGTGGTTCGATTTGAAAACGCATCGAAATGTAGCTGGCGCTTTATCAGTTTCACGAAAAAGAATTAATACGTAAGGCTACAAACCGTTTACGTCAAACTTTAATAGGTGTTTGTCGTTTGCATGTACCGCGAGTTTGTTGGCAATAATGGCAGCATTAAGCATAAGTGTTGAAATGATCGCCACTATGCCAAAAGTAATATTTCGCGCGGTGGTTCGCCATCGGGCGATGCCCCCATCCAACCCCCCTCACCCCCTCCCAATCGGGCGGCGCGGTGCCGCTCGGGACGGACCACCCTCGTCCGTCGGCCGCGGCGCGGCTCTCGGTGCCGCCCCCCCCCCTCCACCCCACCCAGCCACCACCCCCATCCTCCACCGCGGGTCGATACTGATTCGCCCGGGACGGCTACCGGGACGGGACGGCTACCGCAGTGGTCGATAAAACTTCCAACGTACCAACGCTCGTTGGAGCAAGATATTAGCAATACTTGGAAGAGCTGGATACAGTCCGCCCGTCTACATGGATGCTTCCTTACGCCTAAAATACAGCATTGACTTATGACTTTCTAATCGTCCGGTGCTGTTATCGGCTGCTCGGTACCGCGTGTATGTTTCCTCATTCACTCCTGGTCACCCTTCGGTCACCCCTCGCTGGGTCGGGCCAGTCGGCTATTTTTATCCTCTTTCCGGCTAGGCCACCCGCTGAGCTCCCGCCGTGCCGCGCCGTCTGCGAGGGACCTGACCCTTCTGCCGGCAGAGGTTTCTCCAGGTGTCTCCAAGGAGCCATCGTAGCGCTAAGGGTGTGCTCCGCATACACATACATTGATTTTCGCCCTTACTAGCAGGGCCGCTGGCACGCGTTGGCAGCGCCCTGCGGGCATATTTTTCGCTTAGGGTCATTTTGTGGTAAGGAGGATCAGAAAATCACCCTTCCAACTTTCTCCAGGCCTGGGTGTTTTATCGAGCGCGCCTGAAAACGCACAGTGGACCGAAATCACACTTCGATTGCGTTACTTCGTATTAGGTAATACGATCAAAAGTGCGCTCTTTTCTCAATCAATAAGGACAAATGCGTTTAAGTACACATATACACTTTTAAATTAAAAGCTTTAAAATGCTAAATTTCAACATCACTACGCTGATGATAATCGTTAGTTGTTTCAGACTTTGCCGCGAAAACGTAGGCATTCAGATCCACCGTGCGGCCGGTCACCGTTTGCAGTAGTGTGATGGTGTGAGTTGAGTCTGGGGAGTCATGGCCGTGTGGGGAGAAGGTGAGGAGATACCGGTGTGCCGACGCGGCGGATGGCAGTGATTAGACAGTTGTGACCTGGTGTCCTGACCTGAAATGACTGACACCTGAAATTTTCAGGATAGGTGGCAAAAGGCTCATTCCCAGACGTTGTGCCAAATTTTGCGGCGCTACGCGACACCAACTTTTACGCTATTCGCGAAAAAAAACTTAGGGAGGCTGCTTCCCCCTCCCCCCGCCAGGCGAGGGCTAAGTTGGAGACAGTGGTGGGACTAAAGATGTTCGTTGGAGCAACTCCAAGCATTTTATCGACCTGTGGGCTACCGGGACACCTCGGGCCCGGCGGGACGGCTACCGGGACAGACAGGGGACGGCTACCGGGACAGACAGGGGACGGGACGGACACGGGGCGGGACGGCTACCGGGACAGACACGGGACGGCTACCGGGACAGACAGGGGGACGGGACGGCTACCGGGACAGACAGGGGACGGGACGGCTACCGGGACAGACACGGGACGGCTACCGGGACAGACAGGGGACAGACGGAGTACGGACCAGCCGCGGCAATATTTACTCCAAATGACAGAGCTGTCATTGCCGGATGCCATAAGTGGCAGTGCGGGAAAGGACAGTCACTGGGGCGACATTTGTGCCATTTGCAGGCTCTGGATGCCATCAAAACATGTCCGTTATGCGTGCAGCATTGATTACCAGGACCGCTCCAGATGGACGATCTACATTTTCCAAACACAGCACGGCACCGCGATCGGCCGACTAACCCAATGTCGCACTGTTCTACACGGATGGAGGAACAGGCAAACAGAACAGGAAAGCCCTACGGCTTGGCATCCATCATGAAGGCATCCATCATGGCATCCGTCTTTGACTTTGCAGTCATATAACTAGTTGAAGATAAAACACTTCATATTATATAGGTAACCAAACTGTATCAGTTTCCAAAAGTCAACATTTTCCAATGCGCAAAGGTGGTGTGATTGTATATAGACGCCTAGGGCGGCATCGGCTATCGTCCCAGCTATCTGCCAAGTGCCAGGGGCCCGGGATGTTCGGCGTTTCCTGATTCCCAGCCCTCTGGCCAGGGGCCCGGGACGTTCGGCGTTTCCCAGCTCTCTGCCAGGGGCCCGGGATATTCGGCGTTTCCCAGCCCTCTGCCAGGGGCCCGGGACGTTCGGCGTTTCCCAGCTCTCTGCCAGGGGCCCGGGATGTTCGGCGTTTCCCAGCCCTCTGGTCAGGGGTACAGGTCGGGTGTCGGACGGAGAGGACACGCACCGAGAGAGGTTATCCCGGCGTCTGCCCCTCTAAAAAAGGTCACCACCATCTCTCCGAAGCGGTCCGACCTGCATTACTCCTCTGTCATTATTCCTTAACCGCTTCGCTGTGACTATCGCTCATTATCCCATCATAGCCAAAGCGTCTTCGAGGACCTTTGTCACTGCCACCCTTCAAACCGTGTCTCTAGAGCAGTCTCACCGCCTCCCTATAGCGGCCCATCGCCAGCACCGTCCCTCAGAGTGGTCCATCTACCCA